AATCTTTTTTTTTTTTTCCCCTCTGCTTGACTGACTTTCTCACACTCCTATTCCCATAGTCTGCCAGCTAAGCCTGAGTCATCCTGCCAAGAACTAGACCTGGCCTATTCAAAAATGTGCTCACTCGCTCTTTCTTTCTGTCTCTTTTTTTCTTTTTTTTTTTTTTTTTGAGTATACACAGTAATGTTTTTCCACCTCCTCCAGTACCTGATCTGCACCTGTACAGGGCCAATCCCACACATATCACCTGATCTCGCCTTTTCAGAGACCGTGAGAAAAATAAAGTTTAAGAAAGAAGAGACATGTTTGCAGATCTCACCGGTGCAAAGCCCTCGTCTCTGCAGAGGCTTGCCTGCTGAGCCTTCAGAGTTTAAAAAAAGGAAAATAAATAAAAGGGAGAGTGTCATGTTTAAAACTGCAGAAAAATACAAATCCAGGCTTTCTTTCAGCTCCTTGCTGGAGCCACAAGCCTTTTGATTTAAAAACAAAGAGCAGCCTTCAGCGTGTAAGATTTAACTTCAGATGAGCAATATTTGACGTAAGCTTCAATTAGCTAGACATTCGGACAAACTCGAGCGAGGAAAAGATCGAGACTGCACTGGGAAGTCACTACCAAAAAGCCTTTTTGCAGTCACCTTTATGGGGAAATTGGAGACAACTGATTAGCATGAAAACGGCAGTACATTTCTGGAGACCTAAAAAGTTCTCCAGTAGACGAATGTTTTTTTTCTAGTGCTGGTATTTGCATATATTTCGGGGAGAAAAAAAAAAAAGAAACTTATCACAACTACCGAGCTGGTGTTCCCCCTCCTGCGGGGATTTGCAAAGGGCTCAGGAAATGCAGAGCTGGGCAGCCCTGTCCCTCCCAGCCGGAGTGAGAACAGGCTGCAATTATGTCCATGTTTATGGTAGCCGAGGAGCTCCTAACCGCCTCAAATTGCCAGCAGCAGGTCGGTGTCTCTGGGGGATGAGAGCGGGGCCGGCAGCGAGAACAGGCTGTCATTAGGGGTTGCCAGCGCTCACCCACGCTGGGGACCAGAAAAGTTCCAGGCAGCAGCTCCCCTTGCCTGACCTCCCACCCTGCCGCAGCCCAGCCCCTGCCCGCTGCAGAGCCCATGGGGAGGGTTTCGCTTCTGGGGTGTGCGAGGAGCCAGGCTGTGTGGCACTGGGCCTCCAAAAGCACCCGCTTCAGTGGAGGTTTCCTGGGTCTGTGAGCCGAGTGCTGCCCGGGGAGCGGGGAGGCAGTGACACTGGTGTCCCCGCTCCTCATCTGCTCCTCTGCCAGCCTGCTGCCGCCCTACACGTGCGAGGGTTGTGATCCCCAAGCGGAAGCACATCTACGTGTGAATTCCCCGGGGATCACGAGAGGAAGGGGAGGATTTGCATGGAAGGATGTCTCTGGATATAGAGTGGCCGGGGCCAAGTTTAGGCTGGAAGGAAGTGGTGAAGGGGTTTGTAACTATTGAGGGGACCTGGAACAGATCCTCTGGGCTTCTTCAGCCCTGCCTTTGCTTGTGAAAGAGGTGCCAAGGGGGTGATAAAGCCCTGAGATAAGGGGCTGCCCCAGGGAATGATGTGTCCCTTGTCCCACAGCCCTCTGGCAATGTTTTTTTATTTGCTCAAGCAGTCATCTTGGGTTACAAATTGGGAATTGTCCAAAAGAGATTTGGGAAGAACCTTTAGAGAGCATATTAGGGCATTACTGACTGGCAGAACATCTTGGAGGAAAAATGTTTTGGCAAGAAAATTTAGACTAGTCCTGGGCACAGGCCCAGGGGTGGGAATGTGGAATAAAATGGGATGCTGCCACTGGTGTGGCACGCAGGAGGTGAGGAGGTGGCAGGGCTGGCTGTGCTGGCTCTCTGGTCCTTTGGGAAGCAGCCAAGACGAGCAAAATGTGTTTCTAGAGATCCAAGAGCCTTAATACCCAAAGCTTGCAGGATCCTATGAAATACCGAAAATAGAAACCAAGTTGCTTGTAAGATCTGGGGTACAAGCTGGAGCCCTGAAATGGCACACCAAGCCTTTCCTCTTTGGGTCACGGACTGAAAACCTAGCCTGGCTGCAGCTCAAAGTCGTCACCACCCCGAAGGCTGGAAAACAAATGCTGCCTCTCAGGGACGTGTCCCTGGCTCAGATGTCTCCTCTGGGCAGCCTCGCACACATGCCTCCGCTCGTGGTTCCCGTCACAGAAGCTGTTGTGCAATCCATACCCAACCGGCTCCCCTGGGAGGTGTGATCTCAGAAGCTTTGGGCGCAGATTTCAGGATTTGTTTCCCCTCCATAAACACTTGCCAGATCTCTGGGACAAGGTCACTTTCAAACTGACTTCCTGATAAAGCTCTTGAGATGCAACAAAGCTTTCATGGACATTGCTGCCATACACACCGGGTCCTCATGGTAAAGAGGGCAGCTTTCATGCAGCAGTGCCACTGCCCGGCCCTCCCGATGGCAGGAGCAGCTCACTGGGTAGGATGGCAGGCCTGTTTTATGGCAGATCCTGCCCTCTCCTTTCCACTGGGGACCCATTTCCCAAGGGCCTGATGAGACGCAGGATCCCAGTGCTGGCAGATGAGCCTGGGGGGCTCATGTGGCGGCTGCTCCCCTGGCGTGCACATGCCTTACAGGATCCAGGCTCTTTCAGCTGTTCCCTGACTGCTGCTGCAGAGGAGAGGCTGAAGTGCTTATTCGTTGTGCTCCTCGCTGTGTGAGTCAGACTGGGTGTGGGGGAGCTCTGGCCATTCTGCCATAACACCCCTGGCATTGGGAGGGCATCTCTGGGCTCCAGGAACTGGTTATCCTTCCTTCTATTGATCACACAACCAGGCAGGCATCCCAGGGAATGGAGCAGGAAGCTGTGGGATGAAGCAGTCAAGGCTTTGCTGGAGTAGCAAAGTACCACTCTGAGAAACTCTGGCATCACTAAAGGAATTGAAGAGCCAGTTTCATCTCCCCATCCCATTCCATCCCATCCCATCCCATCCCATCCCAGGCTGGAGTACAGCTCTGCACCAAAGAGGGCTCTGGGACAAGAGCCAGGGTACCTGGATCTCTTGCTAAACTGATCCCTCTTGGCAGGCTCCTATCCCGCTGAACCAAGGAAATGCTGCCGGGGAGCTGGCAGCTTTGAAATGCCACCCATGTGGATGGGAATTCCCTTCCTGCCCTGATACCCACGGCATTACTTCAGAGATTTCAGGTTGGGCTGGAGCAACCGCATGTGCTAATGGGCATGAGATGATGCAGCCCCAGCTTTCCTCTTTGTGCCCTTGCAGAGCCCCTGGCTCCAGCCTGGTCCTCCCCTGGCAGCGAGGGCTGAGTGCTGTCAGGTGCTGCAGCTGGGAACAAGCACTGGGAACATCCATCCCCAAGTTATTTTCAGGGCTTGGACCTATATCTGCCACTGCCATTGCCAGCCAGGGGCTGGGAGCTGCCTTTTACCCTTCTCTTAGATATGCTGTTCCCATGTGACACGACTGGAGTTTACTGCATCACAAATTTGCAGTCTGCTGGCTGTGGCAGGGCAGTCCCACTCTAGCACAACAGCCAGTATCTTTGGCAAGGTGCAGCAGTTCCAGGCAGAGTGACATAACAGCTGAGCCTGCATCCCTCTGAGAACCAGAAATAAATGCACAGTCACTGCTGAGCTCTGGAGAGGAGAAGGAGTGTCTCTCGGCTGTTATCCTCTCCCTGCGTGGTAGGAGGTGTTGGCAGTGAGAGCCAAGTTATTTATTTATTAAGAGCCCACTTGTGTTGCTGCCTGAGGCTGCTGTCTCTGTGCTGGAGCTGTGGTGCTTGCGTGCTTGCAGGGCACAGGGAGACACTGCAAGCCGTGGAGCCTGGGTACATACATGAAAAATACCGTGAGTTTGGCAGTGGTGGGCTGGAGGAGACATGCAGGCCTTAAAGGGCACAGAAAATGTCCCTGTCCCAAACACTGAGCAGAAGGCACCCTCACAAGAACCTCCAGGTGAAGGTGGATGTGAATCAGCTCCACATCCACTGTGTCCAGCCCCCAGCCTGCAGCACTCGTGTGCTGAGCTGTGTGTGATCCCTGGCCTGCTGTGACTGCAGGAAGCCCCGCAGGCTTTTCCAGAACACGGCTTTTAAGTCAGATCAGACCAGCAGTGCGGTTTGCAGCCCAGCTGTGCGCAGCTGGATCAGCACGGCCGGGGAGAGGGAAGATGAAGGCGGCAGCGTGGTGAGGTGGGAATCTCACCAGCCATTCTCGGCATGGAGAAACCGCACCTGGGTGCATCAGCATGCCCTGGAAGTCCTGGCACACGAGCTCTTGTTTGTGCCACCTCTGCCCTCTTCCCCCAGCCACACTGACACCCACAGCCAAGGGCAGGTGGGAGCAGCTCCCTGGGGACTCAACCTTCACCGGCTGCAGGCTTATAAATCCCATGGGACCAGCCCTTGACTGGAGTGTCTGTGCTCCTCTGCAGGGTGATCAATCACATTTTCCAACACGATTCCTCTTTGGCATTAATAAGACCAAGAAAGCAGCCTGGACTGATCGCTGCCCCAGAGATTTCTGTTGAATTCACCAGCTGATCGTCATCTCTTATTCCTGGAGCCATGAATTGGCAGCGGGGAGAGCATTGTGTAAACTGCAGGTTATCCTCAAAACCCTGGCAACCATGGTGATGCAGCAAGAAAATATTTGGAACCTTTGGAAGATGCTGTACCAGGCAGCCCTGCCTTGTGGTGGGAGGCTCAGCTGAGGGCAGTGCAGACAGGTGGGCAGGACAGCCAGCACAGGGGCTGTGTGCCCTGCCGAGGGCAGGGACAGAGGTCTCAGCCTCCCTGGTCCGACCTGGTCCAGGAGCCCTTGGGACACCAGGCATTTCTCCTTGACAGATGGGATCGGTCACAGCTTGCCAGCCCTCCTATTTCCATTATTCCTGTATCTATTTAT